AGATAGATAGATAGATAGATAGATAGATAGATAGATAGATAGATAGATAGAAAAAAATAAATGGAGGCAAACAAAACATGCACTGCCTTGGCTGTCTCGCCCAAGATCGTAGGACTTGCGGTCAGCCATGGAGCGACGAGCACCTGAAGCGTCAGCAGCAGTCAGTTCTGTCTCGGAAGTGCTCCTCAAATCTCTCACTAAATGTCCAACGTAGCTTGATGTGACCCAAATATGATCGGTATTCAGTTTAACCCTGTTGCAAGTTGCCTTCATCCTCGATGCCAGCATCATAGGACTTGCGACTGGCAATGTCACCTTGGCTGCTCAGATTTCTAGTTTTCTTGCTCTTGGAGACTGGTCCATAAATGACTTCGAAATATCATCAAGGCATCACTCAGATTGAGCAAACCATGTTGTCAACAACTGACTCAGCTGCCTTCTGAGTCACCTTCCTCATCACGGCTCACATAGGATGCACGGTTGATGGTGCTTCGTGTGCTTCGCCGCGCGTCACCTTGAACCGCCCACTCCACTCGGGCCGTGGAAGTGGAAAAGAGAACGAGAACAGGGCGCACCCGGCTCATTCCAGGAATAGATGAAATGGATCATTTTGGAAGGCAACTTGATGGGAAGGAAACCATGACTGGGAACAATAACCATGACTGGGAGGGAAACTTGTTGACATTCCTACTCTTCCGCGTGAAAAGGAGTCCCCATGTTTGACGACTGCAGACACGGTCGGTGTTTTCAACTCGGTGGTGTCCGATGTTTATGTTTGGCTGGCTAGCTTGTCCCAGGCAATGTTCCCTTCCCCCCATGATCAGCAATTGACAAATCCATGGCAGAACAGATTTGGGGTCATGGCACGAATAATCCTCATACGAATGCCCGAACGAACACCCGACATCGTCCACTTTCTGAGGAGGTTGGTGGCTCTGTTTAGGGAGACTCTTCAACCACCAAGTCTTCCTGGATGTCCTCTCCTAGTCGAACTGGGTTGTCTACCTAGTGCACAACAGACTCACATCTGATTTTCTGTACCCTCCCTCTTGACTCTTTTCCTCCTCCGCCAGGCTGAACACACAAGGCCCACCTTCTGCGACTTGGCTGTAGGACTTGCGTGTGGCCACGCTGCCGCGCGCGACGTCGCCTGCAGGCCGACGGTGCAAGACCCACTGATCGCAGAGTTTGTTGCATCATCTGGTGTTTAGTTTTGCGGGCGAAGTGGGGTGGTGCAAAGATTCTAGTCCAACACAGTGAGAGCCGCTGAGAGCCGCTTAAATGGCTCCAAAGTACGATGTTCCATCTTACTATGTAAGTCTTGTAGAACTGTGGATTCATCGAAGCCAAAATGATGAACAATGAACAACTCTTTGTGGAACTGCAACCCCCACGTAAGTAAACCCACATTGCTTGGATACGGGTACATGGTCAGGCCCTCAGGTACCCACAACTGTAGGGTACATGTTAATATATGTTAATGTTCACTCAGAATGGTATGGACATAGTACCATATATATATATATTACCTGGTTCGTGACACCTTCTGCCCACCCATGGGAGCAGCAGCGTGCGCCAGGGGGCCCACAAGAACGAAACTCCCGAGAACATGAAGAGGCTTTCGTAGTCTGGTCCCCTTCAGGCCCGCTTCAAGTCGGAGATGCTGCCGAAAAGAGCCCCCTGGTGACCCTTTTTGGTTCCAAGATTGGTTGTGATCAGGGTGAATAACGTCTTAGGATCAGTGATCCAAATCTCTTGTGAGTGGTGCAGAATCTATTTTTTGTCCGACTGAGCCAGGAAGGCAGAAAGTCCATACGTCTGTATCCTGCAGTATGTTGGCGAGCGGAAATCGTACCCCAGCTCAGACAACTTGGAGTTGATAACGCCGGACTTGTTCGCAACTCGGAAAACTCCAGTCTCAGCCTCTCAGCAAACGAAAAACACTCCAGGCTCCAGCCAGATCAATCAGTGTTGATGAAAGAAATCCTGCACCACCCCTAAAACCTGCAGCCCTGGAATTGGTAAGGTTGCCTCCTGACATGCTGCACAATAGAATCCATCCCCATATTGCAGCAACATCTCCCTGCAAATTAGCTGCCTCCTTCATCGCGGCTCACATAGGACGCACGGTTGACTGTGCTTCGGCGCGCATCACCTTGGCAGGTTGTCTGGGTATGGCGCAGTCTTCGACAAAAAGATCTCTCAGATTATACCGGCATAGACCCCAGATAGCACTTCAAGAAAAGTTGGACACCGTGGTAAGAGCGGGAGACAAGCTTGGGAGACATCCCACTCAAAGCCGGGGAAAGGATGGAAAAGGTGAACAAGACCTAAATCATCTTATAACAGCATCCGCGTCAAAGGCAGGCAAGAATATGACAAGGCGGCAGCGGCAGCCAAGAGCGAAATCATGAAGGGAGACAAGCTTGGGAGGCAAGCCGGCGGCGGCAGCCAAGAGCGAAGTTATGAAGGGAGACAAGCTTGAGAAACAAGACGGCAGTGGCAGCCAAGAGCGAAATCATGAAGGGAGACAAGCTTGAGAGACAAGGCGGCAGCGGCAGCCAAAAGCGAAATCATGAAGGGAGACAAGCTTGGGAGACAAGGCGGCAGCGGCAGCCAAGAGCGAAATCAGATACTAGCTTGGGAGACAAGCTGGCAGCGGCAGCCAAGAGCGAAGTTATGAAGGGCGACAAGTTTGGGGAGACAAGGCGGCAGCGGCAGCCAAAAGCGCAATCTTGCGAAATCATGAAGGGAGACAAGCTTGGAGACAAGGCAGTGGCAGCCAAAAGCGAAATCATGAAGGGAGACAAGCTTGGGAGACAAGCTGGCAGCGGCAGCCAAGAGCGAAATCATGAAGGGAGACAAGCTTGGGAGACCAGGCGGCAGCGGCAGCCAATTTCCGCAATCCGGAACCCATCCATTGAGAAGTAAGAACCCCTATAGCTTCCAGCTATCTGGGGAAAGATGTGTATGTGTATAATGTATATATGTATACAGTACAGTATATATGCATTTGTTTGTTTAGGGACCCTTGTGTGTATTTCGTCGACCAAATCAAAACTCCAAGCTCCAGGAATCCTTCACCACCCCCAAAACCTGAAGCCGTGCAATAGGTGAGATTTCCCTCCTACCACATGATGCAGGAGAATCCATCCTTCAACACCACATTGCAGCAACATCTCCCTGTAAATTAGCTGCCTCCTTCATCGCGGCTCACATAGGACGCACGGTTGACTGTGCTTCGGGGA